AGCTTGTGGTGTAGTAGGTTATCCACTGAACCTACTACTTGGTGGTGTAGGTTATCCACTGAGCTTGGTGGTGTAGTAGTTTATCCACTGAATAAGTTCAGCAGTCTGAACCTATTAAGTTCTCTGCAAAGATAAACCGAGGCCAGGTCAGAGAGAAAGAAAAGGGAAAGTTTATTCTGTGCTTCCCAGGAGGGATTCACAGACTCCAGGGGGGAGTCAGAGAATCAAGCTGCCTGGGAGGGAGGAGGGAGCAGAGAGGCAGAGAAAGAGACGGGAGCCCTGAACTCCTGGGCGAACTCCAAGGCCCCAGTAGGTGGTGGTGGGGAACCAGAGAAGTTGCACTTACCTGTGGTGGAGAGTTAAAGCCTGAGAAACCCTGAGGGGCAGGCCTACTCTGCCCTACAGGGTCGCCATGAATCAGAATCCACAGGATGGCAGCGAGTTTGGTTTTTGCTCCTAAAGTGACCCGTGTTCGTAGCCACGAGGCATCGATTCCTTGGTGGCAGAGTGGTGGTTATGCGCTGGGCTGCTTGCTAACTGCAAGGTGGCGGTTTAAAACCACCAGCTGCTCCTCAGGAGAAAGGGCTTTCTACTCCCCTAAACAGTGACAGTCTTGTCGGAAACTCACAGGGGCAGCTGTTCCATCCTCACCTATTGGGTCGCTTTGAGTTGGCATCAGTTCGCTGACAGTGAGTGATTGGCAAACTGGGACGAGGTAGGGACTTATTTGTCCAGCCCGGGCAGCTTAATTAAACACACCCGGCACCCCAGGTTTCCTCCCTCGGCCAGAGGCGTCGGGCTGCAGGGAGAGGAACTACCCTTCCTCGCCTCTAAGTTGGCTGAGTGCCACACACTTGACTTTCACGAGAGCCTTCTCACAAAGTCGCCCTTGAGGACGGCAGTCTTTGTAGCGTGGTTTGTTGAAGGTCTGAGCTCTCCCTGCTGCTGATGTAGGGACTGTAGTGAGGCGGCATGGTGTGCCTGCTCTAAGGGAAAGAGGACAGTGGGAGGCGGGGAGGGGCTCTGTGTAGGGGTGTAGAGCATTTGATCTATGGCTCCCATGGCAGAGGAACTGGGGATGTCATTCGAGTTTCCATGGTAACACGTGCTTGGCTCCTGCGGGGCAGTGCAGGGAAGGGCCCAGGGTGTGGGCTCTAGAGCAGGTCTGCCTGGGTTTGCCTCCCAGTGTGGGACTTCAGAAGCTTCTCCACTTCCGAGGGACATTTCTCGTCAAGCTCTTTTAATTTATATAAAGGTTGCGTTTTCAATTAATAATGTTGGTTATTAATTAAGTTCACTCCTCAGCTTGAGATGGGATAGTGGGTAGAGTTCACATGTCTGTTAGGCTGAGTTCTCTAGAGCATTAAAAGCAGAATGTTTGTGTGTGTGTGCGTGTGTGCGCGCGCGTACATACATACAGGTATATAAGATGGACAGTTATATAGAGACAAAGATTTATGTCAAGAAAATAACAACGTAAGCAGGCGAGAGAAAGATTTATATCAAGAAAATGGCTCATACAGTAACAGAAGTGGGCGCGTCCAGTGTAGTTTCAAGACCGTGGGTCAGATGTTAAGCTGGAGGCTTCTGGCTCAAATAGCTTCTGGGGCAGATGAACCCAAGGTGAGCCAGGACCCCTACAGGCTGCAGAGGTGGGTGACTCCAAAGTCAGGCTAGTGACTGGAGGTGAGGGAACCCAAGGTTGAGCTAGCTAGTCAGATGACAAGTCCAAAGAACCAGAGGTTGACAAGCCAGGTGCGGGTCCAGACCCAACAAAAGTTAAGTAAGCTTCCCCACGTACCGCGTTGTAGGGGAATTAGGTTACGTATCCTGGGAACTTCCTTTCATTGGCATCAAGGCTGTGGCCTGATTAAGGGGGTTGCACTCCACCCCTGTCCTTCCACAACTGCCTGACCGCTCATAGCAGATCCTATTGTGGACTTGATTACATTGTGTTTAGGTCACATGGTGGGGGTTTACCGGGCCTCAACTGCCAAGTCACTGAGAATCTAATCCAGCCAAGTGAACAGAAACCTGACTACCACAGTGTGGATTGTGAAACTCCCATACTGTTTCTTTCTTTTTTTTTTTTTTAAGACATATTTTATAAAATTTGTTCTTTTTATTCTAGGTTGCTGCAGCAACTGGCCACACAGTAGTGCTGGTAGACCAGGCAGAGGACATCCTGGCAAAATCTAAAAAGGGGATTGAGGAAAGCCTTAAGAAAATGGCCAAGAAGAAGTTTGCAGACAACCCACAGGTAAATTCTGTTCCTGGTGCCCTCCGGGTCAGTCTTCTGCTACACACACGTACAAAGACATTCCAGTCTTTTCTTGCCATAAAACTCATTTCCTTAAGCCACGGAGCAATGCAATAGCAATCGTTAGACATTCTTTGGGGGCTTATTAGAAAACGAGGAAAGGAATTAACTATGGCTGGGTACAGTTTGAGGTTGAGGAGAACGTTTAAACTCCTGTTGCCCAATGAGAACTTGAGATGGAATGCCAGTTTTTCAGTAAGATGGAAAAGGGAGAAATAAAAAGATGATTTTTGTATTTGCAAACTAGAGAATGATTAATAATAAACATCCTATTTACACAAAGGCTTTTGTTTGTCTAGATCATACTGTATAACACATTGGGCTACTAACCAGGAAGTCAGCAGTGTGAAATCACTGGGCCTCCAGAAGCCCCTTGGATAAGGTGACCAGACGTCCTGCTTTTGGCAGGACAGTACCGATTTTTAACAATTTCTCCCACGTCCCAGGGCATTTTACAAAAGTCCTGATTTTTGGAAAGAATGCAAGACAAGCTAGGGTATACGGTTTTCAACTGCCATGTGGCTATTTCGCCAGGATATGAGTTTTATTAATGGTGTCCCGCTTTACCAATGTTAAAATCTGGTCACCTTACCCTTGAAGAAATATGAGGCTTTCTACTCCCATACAGGTTTACAGTGTCAGAAACAAATGGGGCAGTTCTACCCTGCCCTATAGGGTTGCTGTGAGTCAGCACTGACTGACTACATGGCAGGGAGTTTAGATCGTTTCTTTTGGAGAGAAGAAATCACAGGCTGAATCATTGCCTTTCTCCGGAACACTCACCAGGTTGGGAACCTTGGTGTGCTGAGTCCTCTCATTAGGTTGTCTACAGCACTTTAATTTAGTAATTAACAAGAAATACTGGGGATTGCCACCTCTACCGGGGCATTGTTCAAGGAGGAGAGTATCTGTTTCAACACGCCCAGTTAGCAAGACTGCATTTATCTAGCGCTCTGCTGACCACAGGGTTGTTGGATTACTTTAGCTGTGGCCAGTCTGAATTGAGATGTGCCGTAGATGTGAAATAGACGCCAAGTTTCAAAGACTTGGTCTCCTCTAAAATTAACGATCTCAATTTCTATGTGGATTCTATGTTGAAATACTAGTATCTTATATATTGAGGTAGCTAGATCAACTTGATCTTTCCCTTTGACTTTTTAAAATACAGCAAATCAGAACTTAAACTCACTGCCATCGAGTCTGTTCTGAATCATAGGGACCTTCTAAGGCAGGGTAGATCTGTCCCTGTGAGTTTCTGACACTGTCACTCCCTACAGGAGTAGAATGCCCCCTCTTTCTCCCTTGGAGCAGGTGCTTACCTTAGGATTACAGTCCAGCTCCTAAGCAGTATATCACCAGGGCTCCCAAGTGTAGCTAATAGAAAATGTAAAATGATAGACACACATTGTATTTCTCTTGAACACCTCTTGTGTAGTGTACTCCCTGTTGACTTTGGATATCTTTGTGGATTATAAACCTTTGACCCCATGGCAAAGTTACAGCTTGAAGTAAACTGACATGCCTTGCCTTGTCTGCTCATGCCTTGAACAAGATCTGTTCGGGAAGCCTGGCATCATGAGAGGAAACGACGAGGCTGCGGGCACTTTGAGAGCAGAGGCCATGTCTGCCTTGATTTTGAAACACCAGCTGCTCGTCCTTAATGGGCAATTACTGTTTGCTGGATCACTGACGTTTGGCTTTATTACCCTGGTCAGCACCACTTTACAACAGATGGAGGTGCTGAGCTTAAGCTTCGCCCTGTTGTAGGAGGACAGACACATTACAGACTCCGTAGAAACTCTGAGAACAGATGTTGGTAGGCCAGTGTGGGTGCTCTACACAGGTAGATCATTCAGTAATCAGAGCAGAGATGACTAAGGCTTAAAGGTCCTCCTGCCTGACAGGGCAGTGGGGTAGGCAGCCGTTGGGATTGGTGGTTTACTGTCAGACGTTGCTGCAGCACATCGAGATGCCATTGCCCCTAAGCAGAAGGGCAGAGGGTTTTCTTTCCCACGATTGGAGGGTGTCTGGGCATTTGTTGGTCTCTCCCCATCCCTGTGCCAGCATGACTCTCAGACGAGGCCAGTGACTGCTCTCCTTCCCCTCCCCCTGCTGCAGGCCGCCGAGGAGTTTGTTGGGAAGACCCTGAACAGCATCTCGACCAGCATGGACGCTGCGTCTGTGGTCCACAGCACAGACCTGGTGGTGGAGGCCATCGTGGAGAACCTGAAGGTGAAGAACGAGCTCTTCGCCAGGCTGGACAAGTTCGCTGCCGAGTACGTGCCCCTTGGCGGGGTCCTTGCACTTCCTCGAGCACTTCCCAGGGGCTCGGGCTTTTCTCCAGGTCCCTGCCTTGGCCAGAGGGGCCCTTCTGCCACCAAGTCACCTCTCTTTCTGGGTTTTTGTTGACCGGTCTTTCCTCTCTACCCTCTCACTCCTAATTTGCTCCCTGAGACATGGACTGCCCCGACATGGTCCGCGTTCCTAAACGAGAGTGGACTTGCCTGCAGTAAAATGGAGGCATGAGCTCAGGGCTGGGTCCCATGAGAGGGAGCCGTGGCTTGTCCGTGGGTGTCTGCGGTGAGCTCCAAGTGGTGGGACTGAAGGGAGGGCCGCTCCACCCGGACACATTCCCCTCTGCTCTGCTCACTATTTCCGGTTAGTTCCGAGCAGCCAGAATTAAAAGGGACAGTGAACAACCAGGTCCTGGCAGAGGGAGGGATGGGAGAGCCCACCTCATGTCGGCCAGAAGCATAAGGGGTTGGGACTCAAGACCACGTGCCTGGTCAGCAAGCACGGACAAGCTTCAGGCCACGGGTGGGCTTGACTCCTGGCTCTGGGCCATTGAGATGCCCGGCAGATTTATTCATG